GCCTGGTTCTGAGCGCCGATGCTTTGGAGTCCTGCTGTGCTGAAGCCCTGGCCCTGTGAAATGGTACCCGAGAGAGGCACCTCACTCCGGCTGGTTGTCAGGGACTGAGGCTTGGCCTCTCCCAGGTGTGTGTCAGATGGTCTCCCCTTGGGGGTCACAAAGCTCAGCCCCCCTGAAGGCCCTCCCTCTGCGGGGCAGGCAGGTCTGTGCAGACAGGAAGCATTGTCACTGAACTTGATACTCCTGCAGGGAAATGTTAATGCGAGCAGGTCGTCTGGTGGGAAGGTGCAGGAAGGTGCTGGCCTCGCATGCTGCCATCCCCGGCTTGTGGCCCCAGGGAGACTGGGGCCGAGGCTGCGTACCAGAAGGGATGCTTTCCCAGACGCTGTGGGTCAGCCCCCTTCCTTCCTGGTGGCGCTGGAGGGTTGCTGTGGCTCCTCCGTGGCAGGGCGGCTGCTGGGGGCTGGCTCGGGGCCTCGCGTCTGCACGGCAGGCCCTGTGACGTGGAGAGGCACCCGAGCACCGACCTCAACTGTGGGCTTCCAAGGACGTTTGGGCAGTGATCCACCAGAGTGGTGGTCGGTGGTCTTAGTGCCCCGGAGGACCCGAGAGCTTCTCTGTCCTCAGAGTTGCTGGGACGGGCCGTGGGCCTGCCGCTGAGTGAAACTCACTGAGCAGAGCCTGTTTCCTCTACGGCTGCGCGCGCGCCTCTCCATTCTCAGTGCCGGTGTTACCCATGTTTTTGTTGCTGAACCCGTTGCCCTTTTTTTCTCTGCAGTCAATAATTACATTTTAGTGACTCTAATGTGGTGACTGCACCCGATATTTTTCTTTCCAGCACAGATGACTTTGGGTGGGGGGGCTCGGGGCCATCCCCAGTGGTGCTTAGAGGACATTCCTGGCTCAGGAGTGACCCCTGATAGGGCTGGGGTCCATCTGGGATTGGGGGAATGTTGCTTCTGTGCTGTTATCTGCACCTCCCACATAGGTTTCCCCTTTCCATCCTTCTCTCTTGTTTGACGTCTGTCCACACGTTTAAGGGGTGGGGATTGGGCTCTACCCAGTGGTACTTGGGGGCCGCAGCACCTGTGCTCAGGGCTGACCTAGTGCTCTGCTCTTGGACCACTTCTGCCAGGACTTGGGGAACCATCTGGGGCTGGGATTGAACCCGGGTCGGCCGTGTGCAAGACATGCTTGACCCACTGTACTGGGGCTCTAGCCCCCTCCCCTCCCCACACTCCCATGCGCAGACCCTCCACTGCATTTTTCTCTCCCGGCGTGTTCGGTCATACCCAGCAGTGCCCCGGGGTCACTCCTGATTCTGCACTCAGGAATCACTTCTGGCAGGCTGGGGGACCCATTGGGGTGGCCGGGGATCAGACTCGGGCTGGCAGCATGCAATGCAAGCCCTCTCCTCGTCATATTATTGCTCAGGTTCCTAAATTTAACGTGCATTTTAAAGGACCTGCTTACAAATGCCAATGTGAGTTGACCTCACTGCCAGAAATTGTTTCTTGGTCAAGTAAAAAAGCTTCCACTCTGATCTATTTTTTCTTTTTGGAGGGGGTGGCGGTTCAGGTCATAGCCGGCAGTGCTCAGGGGTCACTCCCTGAGGGGTGTGCTGGGGCTTCACCCCACACCTTAACTCCTGCATGAGCTCTCCAGCCTTGGAAGAAACCTGATGTTTCTCAAGCTTGTGTAGGTCCTAAGGTTTTTGTTGTAACCGCAGTTGCCGGTTCTTGTGCCGTTGTTGTGAGAAGGCATTCGTGGGCCGAACATAAACAAGCATGGCTGTGTCCTGGTGAAATTTCATTTATAAGGACAGGTGGTGTCCTCATACGCCAACATACGTAGCCGTTTCCCCAGTAATGGAAATGAAGTCTGTCCATACTGGAAGATCATCTCATCATTAATAGTTCCGCGATGGGTGGGGTGGGGTACAGGGTGCCCGGGCTCAAGGCTGCTGAGTGGGGCGCACAGGTAGAAGGATGCCATGTGACCTGCGCAGGCCCTTGGCGTGCAGAGCCGGGAGCCGAGCAGGGACAGGTAGCGTGTGATTCTCTTGACGGGTCCCCTCCAGTAGGCACGTTCCTAAAAGCAGAACAGTGCTGGGATTGGGGAGAGACCCTGAGCTCAGAATCAGGAGTAAGCCCTGAGCAGTCCGGGTGTGGCACAGAAACAAAAAAGAAGTTAGCAGGGGTGGGAGAAGGAGGCCTTACTGTTGATGAGGGCAGTGTTTTACACTGGATACGAAAGTGTTGCAAGTGCCGTATCGATAATACAGTGGATAGGGCATTTTCCTTGCACGCGGCTGACCCGAGTTCAATCCTCGGCATCCCATATGGTCCCCCAACCACAGCCAGAAGTGATTCCTGAATGCAGAGCCAGGAGTAACCCCCGAGCATCGCCGGTTGTGACCCAAAAAAGCAAAAAAAAAAAGTTGCAAGTGTGCTTAATGCCACCGAATTTCACTTTGGCGGATGCTAAAGGAATAGGTCCTATGTACTGTCCGTTGATTTGGTTTGCTTTTGGGGGACCGCTAGTGGTGCTGGAGGGGGACCTGGGGGCAGCTGCGACTCAGTGATGGCACCTGGTCCCCGTGTGCCTCATGCACCTCCAACCGCCCGGTGAAGGGAGCTGGCAGCTCTGCCGGCTGCCTGTGCGGATGGTGAGTTCTTGTCGGCCTCTCTCAAGTACATGTTTATAGCATACATGTTCTGCACGCTGTTTTGTCATCTTCACGCCTGGTCTTGATTTCGGCCTTAGAGAACTAAGGACCGAATCGTCAGGTGGTGAGTGTGGGGCGCTCCTGGCTGGGATGGCAGCTTTCAGGGGGCAGGGGCAGGGCTGGCGCAGGCCAGGGGTTGCTGACCTGGGGCCTCGGTGCTCTGCCCCATCCACATCTTCCTCCCAGCCCCTGTGGCTCTCAACCTTGCTTTTGTTGAATCAGGAACAAAGGCAGGAAAAAATACCTTTCCTGCACATCAGAGGAAAAGCTACTTTCCTGAGCGATCACAGTTGTCCGCTTACCCACGGCCCGTTGGTACATTCCAACAAGCCTTCGGCAGTTGCGAAACCACGCATGCCCATGCCTTTCCTTACCCCTACGGGAAAGGCTCTTTTCTAAATTATGCCAGGTGTATGCGACAATGGTGAGAAAGTAGAACAGTTAGAATGGTGTGCTGTAGTACAAGTCACGTGACTTTGGCCTCCTGAAGAGTTTATCTAGAACACTTGATCTTTTAATGGCCATGGTAATTGAAACAGGATGATTGGGGGCCGCTGTGTTTATGTTGAAAGGTTTGGGGAGGGTGGACGTTCGAATAATCGCAGCTTTGGGAAAAGCAGGGAAGTGAAAGAACTGGGTTGATTAGTTCGTATCTGCCACTTGCTACTAAGTCACCCCGAGCAGGTTGCTTGGCCTTCGTCCTGGGGCTGCTCCCTCGTGGGCCATGCGGTCGGCCTGCGTCATCTGTGGGATGGTGTGTGTGGTGACTGACTGCACAGTGCTCACAGACATGCTCAATGGTGCTCCGTGTTTCCTGAAACAGCGGGGCGGGGGAGAAAGGAATTTCAAGCTGGAGACGTGTATTCTGCACTTTGTATTGCTGAGGGTGGTTGAACTCGGTGATAACTATGAACCTATGAACCTACATTCTTTCTTTTTTGGGGGGGTTCTGGTATGGCTTGGCGGTCACACTTAGAGTTACTCCTGCTCTGTGCTGAGAAATTACTCCTGGCGGCGTTCAGGGAGCCCTATGGGATGCCCGGGATGGAACCCAGGTCAGCCGTGTGCAAGGCCATTGCCCTCCCCGCTGTGTTGTCTTTCCTCTTACCCTTCTGCTCTAGTCTCTGTGGCTTCTGCCAAGAACTTGTCAGTCACTTTCTGGTGGTGCTGGCGATCATAATGTTTGACTTGTTTTGTGGTCTTATTGATTAACATCGGGAGGAAAGCAAAGGTAGAGAGAGCCGAACACACCAGTGTCCGCCTGTCAAGTTCTCTGTGGTGCGCTTGGTGAAACGCTTAGATGCAGAAGGGAGACAGTCGGCCTCCGTGCTAAGCGGAAAAAATATATAGGCTGGATTTTCCCCGTCCGTTTATCTTTTATTGTCTCACTAAAGAGAACCGAATGGTGCGGATTGATTCAAAAATGCCATCATCGTTTAGGGAGAAGACCTTTTAAAATGATCAGTGGACCGGAGAGATAGGCCAGCCGGGAGGGCGCTTGCCTGGCACGCAGCTGACCCAGGTTCCATATGGCCCCTGAGCACCGCCAGGGGTGGCTGCTTATGACGGGCTTTGTGTGGGGGAACCTCAGGGTCTGTTCCTAGCACTGCTGGAAGAGACCCCCAATTGGGGGTGGTACCATCCTCCCCACACACAGACCCCAAAGTAGTATGCTTTGGGGCCAATCTGATGCTGCTCTGGGCTTATTCCTGGCTCTGCACCCGTAACTGTTGGGCTCAGGACATACGGGACACTGAGGGTCACATAGGGTCCGTCGTGTGCTCTGGGCACGCCCACTCCTGCCCCAGTTAAAATGACCGGTTGATTTCGGTTCCCAGGGTCTAGAAGATTGTGAATTAATAGTGCCCCTCCTCCCCAAATCTGTCGATTCAGCATGCAGTAGAGACAGCCTCCTGTCCTGAGCACGGTTGTTAAGGCCACCCTGTGCAGGGGCTGACCTCGGGGTCTGCACTGTCTGTCTGTGTGGCTGATAGAAACCACGCAGCCAGAATTGCAGGGGGCGTCAGGGGACCCGAGCACCGAGGGGGACCGGACAGCGGTGACTGAGTCAACATTCCAGGTCTGGTGGGCAGAAACAGCTTGAGAGGGGTGCTGGCTCTTCGGGGCAGCCCTCCACGATTTCCTCAGAGGACAGAGCTCTCACCCCTGCCGAGGAACTGCTCGTGGGGACAGGTTTTGTCGTTCTTAAAAGGGATTTGTGTCCTCCAGGTAACGTTTAACTCTGCTAAAATAGTCCCATTTTGTGTTTCAGATGAAAAAAAAGACATTGACCACGAGACAGTGGTCGAAGAACAGATCATTGGCGAGAACTCGCCTCCCGATTACTCCGAGTACATGACAGGAAAGAAGCTTCCCCCGGGGGGCATTCCTGGCATCGACCTCTCGGATCCCAAGCAACTGGCAGAGTTTGCCAGGTAAGTTACACCAACTCTCTTCTTTCTTCGAATCGTCCCGAGTAACGTGCGTTGTCAGCCGTGGTGGTTTGTGCCTAAGCTACCTGGTGGTTTGTGTTCTTATTCTTAGGGGAACCGGTGAAAATGAAAGCACCTCATTTTTTTTAGTAGTAATTGAGCTGCTAATGGGAGTGACACCGTTTCTTAAATCCTCACAGACAGTCCGATGTAGCGGCTGCTCCGGCATCCCGTGGCCGGTGGGCTTGTGCAGAGGCAGCGCCGTGGCACCCCGTGTGCCTTTCAGCTCGAGGGGACTCGGCCCTGGGGCTTGGCCTCACCTGCCCCACACTTGAGTGAGCGCAGGGCAGGGGTTCCTGGCTGGACCCCCGAGACTCAGGAATGCAGTTCAGTCGGAGGTTGGTTGGTTTCCCTTGAGAGATCTAGAATCCCATGGGAGCTTTCTCTAGTTCCCTAGTGTTTATCCCTAGCTCATAGGAAAACCCAGCAAAGGTGGGAGATTGGAAATGAATGAACTAGTCACTGGGGGGACACCCAGGAGGCGGGACCGCCATGTCTCTCAGGAGCAGCCTTCCTCCTGCCCACCGCAGACAGGGTGGACCATCTCCTGCCATGGGGGGCTCCGCTCCCCCGCTGTGCCCGTTTGGACCCTGTGTGTTTTCATAAAGGTGCTCTTCGCCTTCTTAGTGGAAACAGTCACAGGGAGTAGACCCGTTAATCTTCTCATGACTTAATAGAAAAAAGTTAGGCTCTCTTTTTATTAGCGTGTGCTTCCTTTTTTATTGCCCGTTTTACTTTAAATATAATTACGTGAATCACATCTTAGCTTGCTCTTCCCCCCCTCCTCCCCCCCAGAAACGGAGACCAAAACGGGGCTGGTAGGGCTATAAAGCGTGAGGGTGGAGTTCGGGGTGTCATGCTGATGTGCATTCTTTGCTTTTGTGGTGCCAGGAATTGAACTTGGAGCCTTGTGCTCTGTGTTCCCCCTGGTCCCGTGTGGTATTTGACCATAGTCTCCTGCTGGGAACAAGGAGATGGGGTTTCGTGGGGCCAGCCTGCAGGAATGGGGGACCCCACAGAGGACACAGCAACTGCCACTGTTTGTTCTGAAACGCTGGGGTCCCGCTGGGAAGCACCAGGATGTACGCAGGGAGATGGCTGGGCCTGAGGTGATTATGATTTTTGTCCTCACACTCGGTGGCGCTTAGAGCCGTGGTGCTCAGGGGACCATACTATGCCGGGGATCCAGAAGAGCACTGTTTCGCCGAGCAGTGGCGAGCTCTAGGCTGCCTGAGCAGTAGGCAGTAGCTTCTGTGTTTGTTTGGATTCGGGTATTTTTCTGGCTTCCTGGATCTCCAGGGGGTCACTCAGATCAGCAAGTGGCCACCCAGGCTGGCACTTGGTGCTGGGACCCCAGGTGGGGGAGGGGGGGCGCGTAGCCCCTGGACTCTCCTGGGCCTCGGGTTTACTGGAGGGAGCGAGTTCTCCTCCCAGACCAGTCGAACCATGAATGAAGACCTGAACAAAGACCGGAGGTAAAGAAAGGATGAGGCGGGAGTGAGTGGGGCTGGGAAGGCTCTGTCCTGTAGGTGCCGGGCTCCTCGGTGGGGCAGATCTTTGCCGGTAAGCGGGGCCTGCTAGGGGGGTTTCCAGGAGGGCTGCGGGTGGCTTCCCCAGCTCAGATCCGGGGAGACAGTTGGAGGGGCCTCATGAGGACTGAGGGCGCCTGTGGATAGTCAGCAGGTGCGGCGCATTCCTCGTTGCAGAGGGCCAGCTCACCTGCAGGCTTGTCCAGGCCTGGGAACAGCACCCTGGGCTTCATTCCTCCCGGGCCCCTGGGACTGGGCCCCAAGTATCATGCCCAGCCCCTGTGCAGGAACCGGAAGCGCCCCAGGAGAATAGGTGGGGGGGGGGCGGGGAGGTGCAGTGAGAACCCCTTTCCAGCGGCAGAAGCGGGTTTCAGTTTCTGGGGAAGTTACTAATGATGTTTGATTGTAGTTTTGTTTGGGTCACACCCAGAGCGCTCGGGACTTCCCCAGGCTGGCCGTGTGCAAGGCAGACGCTGTCCCCGCTGTCCTTAACACGCTAGCCCCCGTAACGAATGCTTGATCTGGCGGGGCAGCCCGCACGTATGTAGGGGTGAAAGCATGACCGTTGTCGCAGCTCAGCATCTGTTTGCTGATGCACACACCCTTTCTGGGGGGGCCTTGAGGATACGCATCAGTAAGGGAGAGAACGTGGAAAGGAAGAATTCCTCAAGAGCCCGGTGAGGACAGGGCTCCACTAGGGAGTCCAAAGCCTGTTCGTTCCAGAATGGGAGAAGGAATAAAAAGTGAGATGTTCACGGTGTGGGATAGGTCGCTTACCCCACCCCCACCCCCCATATCCCTCCCTTCCCTCTTTCCTTGCTTTGTTTTGTGGCCAGGTTGGAGGAGCTTGGGGGGTCCTCCGTGATGCTGTGTCTGACGGGCCCTCGGTGCCCCACTTGGAGAGCTTGCTCTCAGCCTGCAGCTGCCTGACTGCCCGAGGGAAAGTTCCCTGGAAAGATGGATCACAAATGGGGCCAGATTTTGGCTGTTTTTATTTTCTCTTCTCCCCAGTGGTGTTTAGGGCTCACTCGGCTCTGAACTCGGGGGGCCATATGGGGTGCCGGAGAGCTGATCCAAGTTGACCCCATGCAAGGCTGGCACCGTGCCCACTGTCCTCTCTCCAATCCGGGTTTTGATATTTAAAGAGAGAACTGCTTGGCCTGGCGAGAATCAGCCTTGGAGAGCTCGAGCTGCAATTCCAGGGTGCAGTGCTCTGATCTTCCTCTGGAAAGCAGTGTTGATTGAGTGTCTGGTGTTTTTTGGGGCGGGGGGTTGTGGGAGGTTTTTCTTTGTTTGTTTTTTTGCTTTTTGGGTCACACCCCGCCGTGCACAGGGCTTACTCCTGGTGGCTCTGCACTCAGGAATTACTCCTGGCAGTGCTGGGGGTCCATATGGGATGCTGGAAATCGAACCCGTGTGCAAGGCAAACGCCTCCCTGCTGTACTGTCGCTTCAGCTCTTCCTTTTTTTGGGGGGGGGGGGTGTCACACCCAGGGATGCACAGGGGTCACTCCTGGCTCTGCACTCAGGAATTACCCCTGGCAGTGCTCAGGGGATCATATGGGATGCTGGGAATCGAACCCGGGTTGGCCGCGTGCAAGGCAAACACCCCTCCCTGCTGTGCTGTCGCTCCAGCTCTGTTCCATTTTTACAGTGCACGCGTTCAGACTTCGGTGTGGTTGCGGCACTGCCAGTGACCAGGAGGTCGCTCCTGAGCCACCACTAGCAGTGGCCATAAAACAAAAGCCAAGACTTCCTTTGGCTCGAGAGTAGAATGGAGTCCCGCGCGGGGGGTAGGCCTGGGTGTTGGGAGTTGGGTCCCCAGCCCACCCTCTCCCGTTGGGTGGGCTTCATGGTTTGGGGTAGGGCCGTGACAGCGGGAGGCAGAAAGGCGGGTGCCCAGCTGCCCCGGCACACGGAGGTTCCCGCAGCTCTGGGCCTGCGTGTTGGGGACAAGTGTCCGTGCTGAGAGGTAGGTGGGACCCGGGTGACTGGATTCCTACAGTCTCTGTAGTTAAGAAAAGAAGGGTGGGTGGGCGGGGCCTGGAAGGTTGTTTCCTGCCTAAACCGACAGCCTTTGCGGTTGTTCTTTAACTGCATTGAGCCTGAAGCCTTGGGGCCATTTGGGAAGAGCCAGGCTAGTGCGGTCTGTTCTGTTAGTTATGCCCCGCCATGTGGCTTTCCCACAGTGTCATTGGAAGGCGGCGTGATGGTGGCGCTGCACGTCCCTTAACGACTCCAGCCCCATCACTGGGCTCTGCCCCGCCTTCAGGTGTCCATGCAGCACACTGTCTCATTTGTCGGAAGTGGCGGTGAAGCATCCTGAGGACGGCACCTGTCTCCGGGGCCCCCATCAGCGCGGGTCAGGCGGCGCTTTCTGTCCTGTGCTGGTTGGGCATGTGTGGCAGGAAAAAGTTCATTCAGGCATTGCCGCTGCCCAGCGGGGCATCTGCCTCGGGACCTTTGCAGCTGCGCCTAGTCTGGGCCCGGTGCTGCTCTCCATCCCATGTATAGGGAGTCGCTCCTGAGGGTGCCCGTGCAGGTGTGGCGGGGCAGGGCCCAGTACGCTGCCGGTAGCTGGCATTTCCCGAGAACTTACACATGCAGCATCTCTTGTGATCGAAGCAGCTCGAAAGTAGGGAGTGTTCCACCTTTGTAAAGGAAAAGAAACTGAGGCTGAGGAGTGGAGTGATTTGCTCAAGGTCATGCAGCTTGTAGGGGTCAGCATCAACTCACACATCCCATTTCGTCTCATTCATAACGCCTCTGCCCTTGTCATCGTCCTCTTTGGTCCCGAAGACCCTGCAAAGCCTCACGGGCAACAGAGACGTCTGGTCTGGGTGGCTTGGACGAGTTTGGGTGGGTCACGAGTCACTGCTGTAGAGCATGGTGGTAGTCTTAAAGTGGTTTTAAATTTCACGTCATTTTTATTTTGCAGATTATGTATAATTGGTGCCATGAAATGTTAAGCCTATGTTCCAAAAACAATGTTTATATTCCAGTGAGATGTAGAAGGTATCATTACGGACCCCCATTGGCTGCTGTGTATTGAGGATACTACCATAGACACCCCCCCCCATTGGTTACTCTGTAGAAGGTATCATCATAGTCCCCTCAGTGGTCACTCTGTGGTCAGTTATCACCAGGCACCCTCCCGTTGGCCTCTCTGCGGTGAGGGTACCTCCATAGACTCTGCCACTGGTCGCTTTGTAGTGAGATATCACCAGACATGCCCCTTGGGTTGCTCTGTGGTGTGAAGCATCTAAAGCCCCCGCTGGCCACTCTGTAGTGAGGGTGATTTGCCGGAAAGCCCAAGAGAGGTAGCACTTAGCCTTCTACTTCTCTGATTCCAAGAGTGTCGGTCCAAATACATTTTAAACACGCGTTTTAAAATTATTATTTCTCTATGTACAAAATGGCAATTGAAGAAGAATCGGGCCGGGGAAGAGTGAAGTACAGTGGGTCGGGTGATTGCCTTGATGCAGCCAAACCGAGTTCGACCCCAGAGCACCATCAGGAGTGATTCCTGAGTGCAGAGCCGGGAGTAAGCTCTGAGCAAAGTTGAGTGTGGCCCCCAAACAAACAATTTTTTAAAAAAAGAGGTGGGCGGAAGCTGCAGGGAAGATGCTTGTCTGGCACTTAGCTGTCCCAGGTTCGATCCCCAGTGCCATACAGTCCCCAGGCCCACCAGGACTCATTCCCGAGTGCGGAGCCAAAGGGAAGCTCTGAACACCACTGGGTGTGGCTCCAAAGAGAACAAGAGAAACTTAACACCGTCACGGAGACTTGGGTAATAGTCAGTTCCTTGGAAATGCTGTGAGGAAGCCCTCCTGGGCCTCGGGCCTGCCTCCTGGCAATGCTGGGGTCACGTCTAGGCACACAGGTGCTGCTGTTGGAGAGCCCACCCACGGCGTGGAGGAGGGGTCGGGGTCTGCCTGAGGACTTGCCGTCCACCGGCGTTCAGAGCTGCGTTCAGAGCTGCGCTTGGGAAGTGGTGAGCTGGGCACAGAGGCATGAGCCCTCTCCAGCCCCTGACGCCTGTCCGCGGACCCATCCCGGGCTTGCGTTTTTAATCGCTTAATGCGGTTATCGAGGTTGATCGGTGCTTCCAGTTGCTTTTCAACCTCCAGATGGCATGGTAGCACCCGTTTTTTGTCTTGCCTGGTCTGTCTTCCCAGACCCAGGCTTAGGGATTTAGTGGTATTTGAGGTACCATGGGCCAGCCCCGCACAAACTCGGCGGCGCGTAAGAGGCCGTGGCTCGGAGAGCTGGCACCATAGCACAGCGGGCAGGGCGCTTGCCCTGCATGTGACCAACCCAGGTTCAGTCCCTGGCACCCCATTTAGTGCCCAGAGCACCACTGGGCGTGGCCTCCATGAAAAAGAGAAAAGAAGTAGTTATTCTAGGGGCCAGAGGTGTAGTCCAGGGGCTCAGGCCTTGTATGAGGCCAGCCCTCGTTCCATACCCAGCAGTGCAGACCCCCAGCCTGCTTGGCTAGGTAGGAATCACCCGGAGAGGCCCTTAACCCTGAACACTTGGGAATTCCCCCCCCTTCTCCCTCGCCCCTTGCCAAAAACAAAACCAAACCCCAAAACCCAAGAAAGGAACTAGTTTTGTAGCTGGTGAGTCCTCCAGACAGGGAAGGGTGCTGAGCTGAAATGTTAGCTCCCAGCAGTTCTGTGGGGGGGAGGACTGACCAAGACTTAGAGGGGGACTTCGTGGGGAGGATTCGGTCGGCGTCTGTGCCGTGGGGGGAAGGCGCTGGCCACTGACCCAGTCCCTGAGGACAGTGCTCCGGCACACGGGCCAGGTGGCAGAGCCAGGGACGGGGGGCCCTGCTTCCAAGATCGAGATGTGTTTTCAGTTTTTCTAGGAACTCTTTACTGTGTCGCCCCTCACACAGATCTGTAGGGAGTGTATGGAGAGAGAGTTTTGACAAAAGACCGAGGTTGGTTCAGTGGAAATGGCAGGTAGGTAAGTTGCAGTGAGCGAGCTCTGTGAGCGGGGCCCCCCCGCAGGCTCTCACTGCCCACCCCCTTACGCCCCAACACAGAGCAGGGCCAGAGCGAGCGGACAGCGGGGAGGGCGTTACCTTGCACGCAGCCAACCTGGGTTCGATCCCTGGCATCCCATACGGTCCCCCCGATCACGGCCAGGAGTGATTCCTGAGAGCAGGGCCTGGGTGAGACATCACTCCGCTGGTGCTGTGTGGAAGGGTGGAAGGTGCTGGCACCTTCCTGCCGCGATGGCCGCTCCCTACCCCCACGGCGCCCGTGCTCACGTGCGGCTGTGTCCCAGGACTCTCTCACCACCACTCCCCCCCTTAGAATAGGACTGACCGGGAGGCCGCTTCTGTCACTGAATGTAAAGTCCCCCTTCGTTTTTGATGCAGTCCGGGGTTGTGGGTCTTTTCACGAGGCGCCTCGCAGCATCTGCTTCCGGGTCCTTGCTTGGCTCCCGCCCGCCCGGAGTCATCTGATTTTCTGCGCCGCTGGCCCTTTTGTGTTTTTAAGAGCTAGGCAGAAAGAGCAGGTCCCAGAGGCAGGGTAGCTCCCCGGGTCAGTGGCCCCCAGACGCAGGCAGCCCCGGGAACCCGCGCCTCCCTCTCTGGCCCCTGAGCAGCCGTAGGGTCTGTGCCCGTGTGTGCGAGGAAGGCGTTGCCGAGACATGTGATTGACGCCGGCTGAGTCTACCCACTCCTACAAATCTTTCTCTCTCTCTCTCTCTCTTTTTTGTTTTTGTTTTTGTTTTTGTTTTTTTTGGTAAGAATGAAGCCAAGAAAAATTAAAGAAGATGACGCTCCAAGAACAATAGCTTGCCCTCATAAAGTAAGTAATGCTAGGGGAGTGTGACCGGCTGCCACTGAAGGCTCAGAGCGCCTGAGAAGTCTGCACTTTGATTTCTGTCTTCGTAATTGAGATGGAGGATCTTTAATCTTTATTTTCTAGATTCCAGAGACTATGTTTTGTGATGTAAGTTTTGTTTTTCAGCTAAGGCCACCTGGTTACTGTTTCTGGGGTTCCTGTAGGGCACCCGTGTTTTCATTATTACTATGCCCTGTAGATGATTCCAGGGTTTTCTTTTTGGTCCTTGACGAGGCGATCTTAAGACCTTGGGTTGTGTCTTCCACGGACCTCCATGGGCCCTGGCTCATTCTGAAATCTGGGGATTCTCTTCACAGTTTTCTTGATTTACCCTGTTAATTGTCTTGTTTCAAGAGGGGTACTTAATTGTTTTCAAATGTGGTTAGTCTTAGCGTCACCTGCCAAGTACTTTTGAGTTACTGCATCGATTCCTCACTTGATTGGCTGTGAAATTCATAAAAAGCATAAAATACCGTTCAGTGCTGAAAGACAAAGGGAAAACCTTTCTGAGCCCGTCAAGCACTGTCTGGAATCCCCGTTGGCGGGTGAAGTTGTTGAGGGCGTGAGCCGTGAGGACGCTCCTGGGGCCAGAACATTTGAAAACAGTTGTGCCCGCGTGCCTGTCTCAGCTTCGCTGTGTCTCTTTCCCGGTGACCATCGAAGGTGCCCCCTTCTCCGTGGAAACCCCCCCTCGAGGCCACGGGAGCGAGCCGTGGCTGGGCCTGCCTTTCCCTGTGCGCTGTCCAGCGCTCGGCGTCTGCTGTCCCCTCATGCTGTCCTCTCATCCCCATTCGCTCCATTACCGGGCAACAGCTACGTGGGGGGAGGGGGCGCCCCGCCTCCTGCCCGCCCCGAGTCTCGCCACGGTGTGGCTTCCGTGGGAAGAAGAGGGGCGGTGGGCAGTGGCGAGGGGCGACCCGTTCTCCCAGCCCGGGTCTCGGGTTCCGCTCCCAGCTCAGCTCCTACTAGTGGTCTGACCTTGGGCAAGTCTCTTTAAAGACGTCTCTAAGCCTCAGTTTCCTCATCTGTAAAGCAAGGGTTTGCATTCACAATCAGGCCTCTGCAGCTGTGTGTGTGTGGGGGGGTTGCCTCGAGCAATTGCCAGTTCCTGCTGTGGTCGTGGCAGGAAACTGGGGTGGGGGGAGGGCAGGGGTGGGGCCCGGGCCAAGCAGCCTCGAGGGCCGGGCCGCAGTGGGACCCCTGAGCTTCTCTCTCTCTCCGAAGGGCTGCACCAAGATGTTCAGGGATAACTCGGCCATGAGGAAGCACCTGCACACCCACGGCCCCCGCGTCCACGTCTGTGCAGAGTGCGGCAAGGCTTTCGTTGAGAGCTCCAAACTAAAGCGGCACCAGCTGGTTCATACTGGAGAGAAGCCCTTTCAGGTAGAGCCAGGGCAGCGGGGGCAGGGCCCGCTCAGGGCGTCCTTTTGGGGGGGCTGGGCTCTGGACAGCGCACGCGGTGCTGGACACTGCGTCTTGGAGGGGCTGCGGCCGCCACCCCGCAGAAGGAACGGATTCTGCAAGAACCAACCGCAGACTCCGGCCCCAGGGTGTCCTTGTCTCCGCTGGGTTTCGCTGAGTGATAGGGAACTTGTAAGTATGGTATAGCGTGTGCCAGCCCCGCGGGGAGGAGTGCGCCCAGCCCGCCCGACCTGGTTCTTGCTGGTGCTGACACCAGAAGCCTGATGAGTGTTTTGAGTTTTCCTACTTGAGTGTTCCGGAAGTCCCAGGACCTGGTCGCAGTGAGGAGGACTCGCGCTGCTCCCCGAGGCTGTCAGTGGGGTGTGGGCGCTGTCCCCCTGCGGAGCGGGTGCCGGGCAGGGGGGCAGCGCACGGGGTCCCGCAGGCGGCTCTGGGCACTGAGCGGCTCTCTCTGCTCTCCCCGACAGTGCACATTCGAAGGCTGCGGGAAGCGCTTTTCACTGGACTTCAATTTGCGCACGCACGTGCGAATCCATACCGGAGACAGGCCCTATGTGTGCCCCTTCGACGGTTGTAATAAGAAGTTTGCTCAGTCCACTAACCTGAAATCTCACATCTTAACACATGCTAAGGCCAAAAACAACCAGTGAGGAGGAGAGAGAAGGACCTGCCCTCGGCACCAGGATGGCGGGATCGACACGCCTCTCCTTTGTATATTGTTTCTAGGAAAGAATTTTAAAAAATGAATCCTACACACCTAAGGGACATGTTTTGATAAAGTAGTAAAAAAAAATTAAAAAAAAAAACTTTAATAAGAGGACGTTGCTAAGATGCTCTATCTTGCTCTGTAATCTCGTTTCAAAAACACGGCGTTTTTGTAAAGTTGTGGTCCCACCAGGAGGGCAATTCATGAACTTCGCATCAAAAGACAATTCTTTATACAACAGTGCTAAAAACGGGACTTCTTTTCACATTCTTATAAATACGAAGCTCACCTGTTGCTTACAATTTTTTTAATTTTGTATTTTCCAAGTGTGCATATTGTACACTTTTTGGGGATATGCTTAGTAATGCTATGTGTGATTTTTCTGGAGGTTGATAACTTTGCTTGCAGTAGATTTTCTTTAAAAGAATGGGCAGTTACATGCATACTTCAAAAGTATTTTCCTGTAAAAAAAAAAGTTATATAGGTTTTGTTTGCGATCTTAATTTTGGTTGTATTCTTTGATGTTAACACATTTTGTATAATTGTATCGTATAGCTGTATTGAATCATGTAGTATCAAATATTAGATGTGATTTAATAGTGTTAATCAATTTAAACCATTTTAGTCACTTTTTTTTTCCCGAAAAATACTGCCAGATGCTGGTGTCGAGTGTAATTTCTTTGCCTGTTCAGTTACAGAAAGTGGTGCTCAGTTGTAGAATGTATTGTACCTTTAACACCTGATGTGCACACCCGTGTAACAGAAAGGGCAACAATAAAATAGCAATCCTACAGAAAGAATCCGGCAGAGAAAGCTCTGTAAGCACAGTCTTAGTTCCTTTTGTTGTCCAGAGTAATTCTAATTCTTGAGCCTCCCAGAAATTGGAAGCTAAATAAAGCAACTCAAGTTTCCTTTCCTTCGCACTCGGTCGCAGTGGCGCGTGTAACGCAGCGGGTCTTGAGGATTCCTCCGTGGCCTGGATTCCCGAGGAGCAGAGGACAGGCAGCCCGAGTTCAGGAACTACCTCAGAGTCCCCGGCCAGGCCGGGGCGGGGGTGGGGGGCCGGCTCGGGCCCCAGCCCCGCGCGCGTGCGTCCTCCAGGTAAGGTACGGCCGAGAGAGCCCCGCGGTTCCGTGCCACCCTGCCCGGGTCGGCTCCTGGGCTAGTTGCAGGTTCCTCCCTCCGGTGGGGTCCCCGTGCTGGCACCAGGAACTTAGTGTCACCTCCTCAACGGCTGCTGCGGGCAGGTGGGTGACGGCATGGTCAGAAACTCGTACTCAGTGAGTACTTTACCTCCTCCCTCTGCCACCTCCTCAGTGCGCGGTGATGCGTTGGGAGCTTTCCCTGGAGTCCGCTCTGACTCCCGAGAGTAGCCGACAGTCCACGAGCCCGCAGACTCCCGTTCATTCCAGATGCGCACGGCCTGTGTATCTTGTGCTGTCTGTCCGCTTGACTGCAGGGTGACTTAACTCGCTAATAGTCAAGATCTCTTTCCACGCTGTGCAGGACACCCCTAGGCCACAGGCGTCACCCCATCCCTGCTGGGGGGGGGGGACTTCGTGGGTCCTACCGAGGATCGGAGACCAGCACAGCGGCCCCGTGGCTCTCTGGAACTTTGAAGTGCCTTCTGAATCCCAATGAAAAATTGAACTCGAGACGCTTTTCTATTTGTTCAGAATCTGGTAGCTGGATGGAACTGAGTCGTTCAGAAGCCCCTGGCCGGCGTCCGGCCGAGCCAGGCATGGTTGGTCAGGAGAGTCAGGCCACGTCAGAGCCAAAGGCCCCCGATGCCCGCAGGCTGGCAGCATCCTGCGACACTGGAGCCTGGCCCTGGTGCTGTCCCGGGACCCCGCAGGAGGGAGGCCCCCCCTCCCCGTCCTGGTGCCTTGGTCCCTTGGGGATGCCTTTAGCCATCTCTGCCGTTCTCGTCTTCCTTCTCTGAATATGCAGCCCGTTGGTGAAAGGAGTGGTCGGTGGCACTCCCGACCCCGCAGCAGGCAGGCAGGCAGGCAGGCAGGCGCTGGGGCCGGAGTGCCGGGTCTGTAGGAGTCCTTCTGGGATAGCACCGAGACCCGCGTTGCTTGTGTCTTGAACCTTTGGCTAACCGTGTGGAAGTGGTGGTCTAGCTGCGGGTCAGTGGCCCCGAGGAGCCTCTGATTTGCCCATAGACTTTTTCCTACATCTGAGCTGAAACCTGCATGTTTCTAGCGTATGTAATATAAACCCTCCAGAGGATAAGTTTACACTTAACGAGATATTGTTTTCTATTTTTGGATTTATTCTCTTCCCCCCCTTTTTTGTAGCCTGGGGGGAAGCGTAATATTTGTATGAAGAACTATCACCTCAGAGTGACCCTCGCTTTCCAGGGTGACAGGACTCGCGCGCTTCCCGCGCCCGCCGTAGACGGAGGCGAACGGCCAACGCTTTTTCCGGTTTGGTTTCCGTGTACAAACTGCTCAGCGTCACTCGCTCTGCGTGCTGTGCCCGGGCCCCGCAGAGGTTTCCTGGCCCAGATGGAATGTTCGCTGCTTCTGAACGATCCTTGTAGCGCCGAGGGGGTGGGGGGCCCTGCTCCCCATGCTGCTCGCCCCCGGGACCCCGTCCCAGACTGCATCAGCCGGGGCTGAGGGGTCGGCAGCCCGTCGAGTCCCGTCCTGCCTTCCCTCTCGTTTTTGTGACGTCCAGTCTCCGGGTAGGGATGCTGTGTGTCCCAAGTCCCTGTTGGCGCACCCACCCGTGCTTCACACCCTCAGCGTCCTCTCCCGCCCAGTGGGGACTGGGGGCGGCCACACTCCAGCCCCTGCAGAGCGTGAGTGGTGCTACCCCCACTGTAGCCCAGGGCCACGGCCTGCAGCTGTGCGTCTTGGGGGCCTTGAGGGGTCCGTTTTGGGGGGAAGGGCATCAGTAGCAAACAAGAACCATTCTTTCTACAGTGTCCGTACCCGTTGGCGAGGCTCTGCTCTCTCCGGCCGTGGTGGTGGGTCAGCCCATTGTCATAGCTCCGTCCTCTTTTTTGATTTCCCCATAACTTCCACATAGGCCCTGGCTCAAGAACTTGGCATTGTGTCTCATGGTCATCTTAGATTTTCTTCAATGTTCGTCATCATTTCTGGAATTATCTTTTTTTTTTTTCCTTAGCTCATAGGTCATAGATGCAGAAATATTCTAGTATTTAAAGCACCCACATCAGCTGGCTTTGCATCCAGAAACATTTAATGAAAACTCAGTTTGAAGCACCAAGCATGTGTAACATGGCTCTATAAAATATAATAAATGCATAATGTTAAGCTTTTTAACGCTTGTGGTTCTTGTTTGTCCCTTTGCTCAACCACTTTTCCTGGGTGGCCTCGCCGTGACAGGGCCCCCAGGAGCCATCAGAGTCCGCTTCGTTGCACCCTGGAGCTTCCTCAGTACCAGCGTGTCACTCACTCCTGGGCACGCCCGAGCAGGCTGGTCAGGGCCGTCCTTCCTCCTGTGGCCCTTCCGCTGGACCCATGGTGATGAGGGGCTGCAGCGCTGGCCTGCGAGGGACCCCCCAGCTGCCCCCGCCTCCACCTGGCTGTACCATGGATCGCAGTAGCCAACAAGGGCGCGTCCCTGCTCCCCGCCAGCTGTGCTCTGGAACCCACCCTGGCCATCATCGGCTCGGGGTTTGACATGGCGCCCCGGAGCTCCTGTCCTGAGTGCTGAGGACAGTGGCCCAACTCCTTTTCCAGACAGTCTCTTCTGTCACCCCACGACTCAGAACTGGATGTCCAGGACATGTTCTGCCCCTCACCCCCTCCTCCAGTCTCTCGTTCCCAGACCCCCACCCCCTCAGCGGATGCCTCGACCCTGTGCGCTGGTGGTCGATGTGGGGGTGGATCTGGTGGAGACAGATGTGGGCAGGTGTGTGCAAGAGCTGGGCGTGGGGTGTGGGGCTGGTGCTAGCGGGGGGATCGTGCAGGGGTGTGCGAAAGGGGGGCAGGGAGCCCCGCACTGTGCCTTCCCCTGCTCCTTGTAGCTGCCAGCCCTCTCCCTAAGCCTCACCCTCCCCCTTCCCAGGGTTGTTCTGGGGGTGGGGGTTCCCCAGGCTTCTCTGCCCACAGTTGTGTTTTGGGTTTTTTTTTTTTTTAATCACACTCAGCCATGCTCAGGGGTTCCTCCTGGCTCTGCACTCAGGAGTTACTCCTGGCGGGGCTCGGGGGACCATGTGGGATGGATGCTGGGGATTGAGCCCGGGTCGGCTGCGTGCAAGGCAAACACCGTCCTCGCTGTGCTATCGCTCCAATGCCCCGCGATACTCCTGGGACACCCCCCTCCTCCCCCGGGATGCAGGGGATGGAGCCTGGTTGGCCGAGTGCAAGGCCAGTGTGCTCCCCTCTGGGCTATGGTTGTGCCCCCAGCTTTGGTTGTGAAGAGCTGCCCGAGTACTGAGACTTAGCGCTGCAGTGCCCCCTGCAGGTGTGCTGGGCGCGGGGCCCGCATGCTGCCTTGTTGGCAACCCATGGGGCTGTGGCAGCGAAGGGCAGGGCGTGTCCGAGGGACCTGGGGACTCGAGCCCCTCACTTGGGCCGTGGTACCCAGTCCTTGCGGGGCTGCCTGGGTGCAGCTCGCACCGCCCTTGCTCACCATCCCTAGAGCCCCCAGACCCGCTCCTGACCCCCCCCCCCCCATATCCCCTCTGGGTCTGCGTGGCAGCCGGGCTGGGGTCATGCATATCTTCACACTGCGACCCCCGACCCTCACCTGCCAACCGTTGTGCTCACACACACCCGCCCTCTCCTCCTTGGCGAGGCCCTTGGCTGCAAATGACAAACTGAGGGGCAGCATAGAAAAAGGGACGACCCCGGCCCCCCTCCAAGCTCTTCAGAAGCCCCAGCGCCGACCCCCCCCCCCCACACACACACACACTGGCCAGACCAGGACCACCATGACCACCCCAGCTCTCGGGGCCGGGAAAGGCATCACCGGGCATGCTGGCACCCAGACAACCCTCCGCCTCAACTACATCGCGGCCCCCCCCAGGCCGGCTGCACCCCAAAAGTGAGCCAAGACAGGCTGTGCCCAGCAGCAGGCGAGGATTGGGGGCTGAGCATCTCAGGGGAGCCCCTGAGGCCACTGGGCGGGAGAGAGCGACAGGCTGGAGCCATAGCACAGCGGGGAGGGTCTTTGCCTTGCACGCGGCTGACCCGGGTTCGATCCCGGCACCCCAGATCGTTGCCAGAGCCCTCCAGGAGTGCTCCCTGAGTGCAGAGCCAGGAGTCAGCCCTGGGCACCACCAGGTGTGGCCCCAAAGCAAAGGTGGAGCCGGATCCCAGCCACCACTCAGGGCACCCCCAGGACTGATCAGTCTCCCACCGAGGAACCGCCCTCCGGGCCGACTGAGTATCCCATTGGCCCTGCGCCCACGCAGAACGTCGGGCTGCCAGGCCCAGGTGCACGTTCCTGTCTGGCGCATGCGCCTCGGCGTTTCTGAGGCGGGAGCCCGTGTTCCCCGGGAAGGGGAGGCGGGAATGGGGGTTCCGGAGCCCCAGGCTGGGGGGCAGCCGCGATGTTTGCCGCTCACAGCCGCGTTGCCCCGTGACCTAGCGGCAGTCAGACCCGCCTCCCGCCTGCCCGGACTCGCCCGGGCCTGGCCCGGCCCTTTCCTCGTTAGCTCCCTGCTCGATTTACCCCTGATACGATGCAGGCTGGGGGGAGGGGCTCTGGCTTCCAGCATCTCTACCAGTCCTCCGAAGACGTGGGGGTGGGGCCTGGGCCTTCATGGACCCCCCCAAAGGGCTAACACTCCACTGGGGTCACCAGCCAGATCCTTCCTGGCCTCCTGCCAGGAATCTGGGAGTCAGTGCAGAGTGAGGAGGGTGAGAGTGGGCACCCTCCCCCCCAGGCAGGCATCAAATCCTCTAGGTTGGTGACAGGGGGCATGGGGCTGAGAGCAAAGGTAGATGAGTGGTCAGGCCTAGGCTGGCTGCCTCCTCCAGGAAGCCCTCGCAGTTCTTCGGCTGGGTGGACTCTTGTCTCTGGACTGCCCACGTGCCTTTGAAGCGTGGCTCAGACATTCCCTTCTCCCGGGATGCCGTTCTCTCTCAACTCCAGCTATTGAGCAGGCCGGCCTTCCTCCCTGCCCGGACTCCTGCCAGCTCCTGCTTGCGCAGGTCGAGGAAGCCAAGGATGGAGAGTGACCCGGTGCTGGGTGGCCCCCAGCTGGCCTGACCCCCTGGCCCGCGCTGGCAGGACGCCTGTTACTCCCGGCACACAAACCACGGCTGTGCTCTTTACAAAACAAGACTTTATTCCCTGGGCAGTTTTGGCCGGACAGGGGGGTGAGGGTCAGCGCCAGTCTGGACAGAACGAGCCACCTCGCTGCCACAGGCCTGGGTGGCGTCGCACCCACCATTCACAGGAGGGCCGGAGCCACAGGGCCCATTTTATAGACAGGCAGCCTGAGGCCCAGAGGGAGTTTCCCTGCGGCCAGGAGTGTTCACTGGGAGGTGTGGAGGGTGGGGTCTCCTGCCGTCCCTGAAGCCCAAGCATGTGGCTTCTTGGAGTGTCTGCACACAGGGCCGCCTCTGCCCCGCAGTGCCCAGTGGACAGGCCCCCAAGGCCGCTTCTGTCGGCCACAGCCTGGAACAGGTGGCAGACAAAATGCGGCCTGGAGCCCTCCGAGACCCCACCGGACCCAACGGCGGGCGCACCCAGAGGGTGGGGTCTGGGGACTGCAGGTGCCGGGCGGGCAGGGCGCTGGAGAGATGGCCCCCGCGTGCCCGGTGACTGGCCAAGGCGGCCTGCGGGGCCCGTGCCAGGTGCCAAGTCGCCCAGGGGCTGCGCCCCGGGACGGCGGCCTCGGAGCGCAGCGGACCCGACGGGGAGCCCCGCGCCGGTCACAGGCTGGACCTCTGCGTCAGGGCGGGCGCCGGGCCGGCCGCGTCGCCGTCGGGCCGCGCCTCGGGGCCGCGCGCGTAGGACAGCACCACGGTGACGGTGGCGAAGGTGGCCGCGTTGACGGGGAAGGCGCGCAGCAGCGTGGACGTGAGGCCGCGCGTGAAGACGCGCCAGCCCTCGGCCTGGTAACTCTGGCGCGCGCAGTCCAGCAGGCCGCGGTAGCGCGGGGAGCCCCGCAGCCCGTCGGCCTGCAGCCGCGACTTGATCACGTCCAGCGGGTAGGTGGACAGCCAGGACAGGATGCCCGACGTGCCGCCCGCCAGCAGCAGCTTGGCCACCAGCAGCCGGTCGCCCGGCGCGCAGCCCAGGGCGCGCGTGAGCACGTCGTAGGACAGGAAGTAGACGCCGAAGCTGGGGGTCTCGCGCAGCAGCGTGGCCACCATGCCGCGGTGCACCCCCCGCACGCCCTCCTGCCGGTAGATGTGCGCCAGGCAGTGCAGCGAGCCGCGGTAGGGCCGCGCCGGGCCCGCGTCCTGCAGCTGCAGCCGCGTCTTGGCCAGCTCCATGGGGCAGCAGATGACGCACTGGATGGCGCCCGCCGCCGCGCCCGCCAGGAACTGGTTGAGCGGCGAGTCGCGGCCCAGCGCGCGCAGGGTGTTGCCCTGCACCCCGAACACCAGCGCGTTGATGAAGGTGAGCCCCATGAGCGGCGAGCCCAGGCCCTTGTACAGGCCCAGCACCTGCGGGGGAGGACGGAGAGGGCACGGGGTGAGGGTGGGGGGTGGGGGGCCCCACCCCGCAACTCCCCCCGTTCCCGGGGCTTGCCCGCGCCCCACTCACACTCTCCTGCCGGATGATGGTCTGGAAGCAGTGCAGCGTACCCCGGTACTGTGGCCTCTCGGCATTCTGGACCTGCAGCCGCACCTGCAGGGAGGGCCCGTGAAGAGGAGGGGGCGCCGGGCAGCCCCGGAGGGGCTGGGGGCTCCCCACACTCCTGCCTGGGTTTGGTGAGGGGGAACTTGGGCCCACGCGAAGGGAGCTGGCAGCTAAGGGCCTCCAGTGCCTCCCCAAGGCAGGGGAACCCCACCTAGCTCATCTGCAAGGCCCGGTGGACCCGTCACCCGGGAGGATGGGGGTCCCCCTTGGCCGAGGCGGGGCGCTGGCTCAGGAGAAGTTTTCGGGGGGTCCTCAAGCCCTTCTCAATCCCCTCCACGGGAGAGACAGCTCTGGGGGCTAGACAGATTGTACAGCGGCCATCGCGCCGGCCTCCCCACTGACCAAAGCCCTCAGTCCCTGGAGTGAGCCCCGAGTACCTGAGCCAGGTGTGACCAACGTCAGTAAATAATAGCGTGGTGTCTGCAGCTGTCTTATGAGGTCCCCAAGGCCACACGGGGCCGTGGAGCCCAAGTGAGGATGAAATACTGGGGAAATGAGGCGACAGGCGGGCAGAGGGAGGGGCACTGGCCCGGCCGGTCCTCCGGCAGCGCATCAGGTGCGCGTGTGTGTGCACGCACGCCTCTCACGCGTGCTTCGCCTCACTGCAGGCACGTGTGTGGGCCCTGGGGCCCGGCGCCCACGTCTGTCCCCAGGGATGTCTCTGCGGTGGCTCAGAAGGCTTTACTTCCGTAACTAAGTTTCAGGAGTGTCATAGAAAGCCAACAATTCCCGCCCAGTGTGTTCATGTCTCCGAGCCACACACGTGTATATAATAAATTACAGGGCGGTGCTGTCTGCTTTGACACCCTGAGCTTGTAAGGTCAAGTTCACAATGAGTGGCCCTGAGGCACCCAGAGCAAACGGTCTGTCCTTCCTGACATCTTCAGAAAGGGCATGAAAAATAATCCTTGAGGGGCTGGAGAGAGAGAGAGCACAGCGGGGAGGGCGTTTGCCTGGCACCCACCCGACTCGGGTTCGATACCCGGTACCCCATGTGGTCCACGGGCCTTGCCAGGAGTGATCCCTGAGCGCAGAGCCAGGAGTAAGCCCTGAGCACTGTCAGGCAGAGCCCCCAAAGCCAAAAGACTCTTGAGCTTGACTGGCTGAATGTAACCTCGATGCAGTGGACAGTTCTCAACGTCACACATTTCCAACTTGACCTTTGGGAGCACAGCCAGCAGCCAAGCCGGGACAGCCCCCAGCACTGCAGGGTGTGGTCCAAAATACCACTGAGTAGTTAAGACCTCTCTCTCTCTCTCTCTCTCCCCCCTCCTCCCTTTCTCTCCCCCTTCCTCCCTCGCTCTCTTTTCTCTTCCTTTCTCCCTCTCTTTTCTCTCTCCCTTTCTCTCTTCCTCTCTCTCTTCCTCTCCCTCTCTTTCTTTCCATCCCTCCTCTCTCTGTCCTCTTTTTTTGGTTCTGGGGCCACACGTGGCTGTGCTTAGGGCTTACTCCCGGCTCGGCACTCAGGGATCACTCCTGGTGATGCTCATGGCGCTGTACGCAGTCCTGGGGGTCCGACCCGGTGGGACCCCCAGGCAAGGCAAGGCAAGAACCGTAACCCCCTTGCACCATCTCTCCAGCCTCAATGCGAAACGTTTTATAGGACGTGATTATCTGCTTCTTCCTGACATGTTGGGGCCTGGCCGGGGCCATGGGAGGAAGCAGGCCCGTGGGAACGACCGTGGGATGAGATGAGCGGACGGTGGGGGGGAGCCGGGGGAGGCCCGGCTGGGCTGGGGAACGCTCTGCGTGCGCAGGCGTGAGGGTGGGCGGGGCTGCCGGCGCGGAAATGGATCTGGAAACGGATTTGCAGCAAGGAAGAGCAGCTCTGCGTCGCCGCGGCCTCGTTAGTTTCCTCTCAGAAGAATATTTACCGGTGTGTGCGCGCACATGTGCGCGCGTGTGTGCTTGCGGGCGCAGGGCTGGACCGGGGTCTGCCCATGGGGACAGATGCTGCAGGGCTCACCTAGGCTCCCATCCCAGCCTGACGTTGGAAACCAGCCGGGAGACAGAAAGGGGCCCTCAGTGACCCCGTGTGGCCTTGGCCACAGTGGGCGGGCAGGAGGCTGGAGCCCAGAGGGGACCCTGCACCCCCTGGGCTGCAGGGGGCTGACAAAGGCCCAAGAGCTCAGAGGGGGCTGGAGACACCGTAACTGTGTTCACGCCTGGCGGGCACCAACAAGAACCTGGCGGGACCCAGCCCCGCGCCCCGAGGCCGGCTGGGAATAGGGACAGGAGGACCGGCTGGCCACAGCCCGTGACCCCAAGACAGAGCAGGCTGCGGGGCAGGCGCCCCCACCACCAGCTGCGAGCACTCACCTTAACGGTGTCAAACGGGTGTCCCACCAGCACGCCGGCCACACCTGCGGGAAGAAGCAGACAGCGCGGGGCCTGGAGACCGGGGTGCACAGGAGAGAGGCCCCCTGCCCCTTCCCAGCCGGCCGACCTCCTGGGGGTGTCTCCCGGCCTCCCCCACACCCCCACCTTGCTCCTTCCCTGCCGGGCTTCCGTGACCCCCAGCTCTAACGCCAGGAATGCAGCCCCCCACCCAGGAGGGCAACACTCGCGCCCGACACCTGCAGTTCCGTCTCGGGCGCTGCGTTGCTGGACACGATGCAGAGCCCCTGACTCCACCCTCCGCAGGGCGGGGACAGATGCAGAAACCCAGACCTGGTGGAAACGGAGGTAGTTGCCAGGGGGAAGGGGGAGCTGCCCCCATGTCTTCAGCCACGGAGGGGGTAGCTGGGGGGGGATTTGTTCTCATGAAAACAGGCATATGAACAGAATATCCCCACTGCTACCCACTGTCCCCCCGCCCCCGACAGAGGGTCATCAGAAGGATGAGATGCCCCCATGACGGGTGCCCAGCTTCTCCCTGGACCTTCTGTCCAGGCCAGTGGCCCAGGGACGCCCCCGCCACGGGCTGACTGGGTCGATGGGGGAATGAGTCTCGGGATGCTGTCTGTCAATCAAGGCTCTCGGCCCACCTCCCCCGAACACGTGACTCACTCGGCCAATCAGAGGCCTGTTCCCGCCTCCCTGGCCAACAGCCTGCCTAGGACCACAGACGAGGGCAAGCTCTGGCCACAGGCTGGAGCAATGGTACAGCGGGTAGGGCGTTTGTCCTGCATGCGGCTGACCTGGGTTCGATTCCCAGCACCCCATATGGTCCCCCGAGCACCGCCAGGAGTGATTCCTGAGTGCATGAGCCAGGAGTAACCCCTGAGCATCGCCGGGTGTGACCCAAAAATAAGCCAAAAAACAAAATGGGGGATGCGGGAAATAGATCAGTGGGTCGGGTTTCTACTTCGCATATGGAAGACACATATTCCTGGTACAGCATGGTCCCCCGAGCACTGGGCTGGGAGCAGCCCTGGCATGACATGGTCCCTGGAGCACTAGTCTTGGAGTACCCCTGGCTTCGTGTGGTTCCAGAGCATTAGGCTGGGAGCACCCCTGAGCACTGCCAGATTAAAAACATGTTTTTAATCCTAATTTAAAAAAGAGTTTAAAGGGGCCTGAGAGGGGCTGGAGTGATAGCACAGCGGGTAGGGCGTTTGCCTTGCACGCGGCCCACCTGGGTTCGATTCCCAGCATCCCGTATGGTCCCGTGAGCATCGCCGGGTGTGACCCAAAAAGCAAAAAAGAAAAAAAAATGGGGGCCCGAGAGTACTGCCTGGCATGCAACTGAGCTAGCTTCAGTTCCCACATGATCCCCCCCACCCGCCAGGAGTGATGCCTGAGCACAGAGCCAGAAGCGAGTCCTGAGCACCCCCCCCCAAAAAAATAAAGTTTAAAGTGAGTGCAGGGCAGCAGCAGAACTTTCTTTGGGGCCCGCAGGCCTTGAGTCTGAAGGCACCAGACCCAGGTGTGTGTGTGGGGGGGGTCCGGGGGTCAGACAGAGGGTGTGGCCCCCACGCACATCAGAGCCTGGTGGGCAGCACCAGGAGATGGGGGCAGCGCAGGGGCTGGGGACCCCTCCCTCGTTCCCCAGCAGGGAGTACTGGCCATGGCGCCTCAAGCCCGGGTCCTGCACCGGTTCCTTCGCCTGAGGGCCCGGAGGGTGTGGAGCTTGGAGTGGCTGAATGCAGGTGGGGCGGGGCAGGACCCTGTGCTCCCAGAGGGTCTCTGCAAGTACAGAGGACCCAGGCCCCCTGCACTCGAGGTGAGGTACCGGCCGGACAGCCCGTGACGGGTGAGGGTAGGAGACTCCGGCCCTGGGGAGCTAGGGGCTCATTCTGTTTCTTTGTTTTTAGGCCACACCCTGCGGGTGCTCAGGGTTTACTCCTGGCTCTGAGCTCAGGGATGATTCTTGGCAGAGCGCGGGGGACCATATGGGATGCCGGGGATCGATCCCAGGCCGGCCGAGTGGAGGGCCAGCACCCTACCCCGTCATCTGCATGAGGGAGCAATCTTAATCTTAATCCCAGGCACTGCACCCGCAGTTCGCTTTCTTGGCTGCCTTCCCGCCAGCCTCCTCATGCCTGAGGAGGGAGCGGCCTCACGAATTCAGCGCTTAAGGCCCAGGCTAAGTCACGCTCCCCTCCAGCGGTGAACACCCCCGCGGCCCCCGCCACCAGTACCGCTGGCAGCCGACTCAGGCCGAGACGGAGCCAAACTCCAGCAGCTACGGATGCAAACAAAGGCACGTCCCGGAGCAGGGAAGCGGCCCACGTCAGCGCACGACCCAGCTCCAGGCCACTTGGCCCGTCCAGTTGCCCGCGGGCCTGCCTCGCGCGGGCTGTCCACTCGCCAGGGAGGCGAGGAGCTCGCTCGGCCTGGCCCCCCGTCAATGAATAAGACCTGTTGCGCGACCCCCGAAGACAAACAAGTGAAAATACGACGGGCCGACGGGGGAGCGGCCCACGTCGGCCCGTCGTATTTTCGCGCTGGCCTGGCAGGGGCGCAGGCGGGGCGGGGAGGGCAGCGCTGCCGCCCGGCCTCTCTGCAAAGTGCCCTCCGCCAGTGCCACGTGCACGGGCGCCCGGCTCGGCTGCCCCCTCTGCCACCCCGGCGCGGTTCACGGAACGCGCAGGAGGGACGCGGTGTGCCAAGGCGGACTTGGCGCCCTGGCACCGCGGCCGGCCCGCTCCAGCGCGCGCCGGGCCAGCCCGCCTGGGGGGTCCAGGGTGGCTTCCGCCGGGCCCGGGCGGCTTGGGGGAGGGGAGGATTCAGACCCAAACTTCGGGGACGCGGGGAGCGCCTTCTGCTCCGGCGATGGGAACCGCGCCCGGGGCGGTGGCCACCGTCTTGGCCCGCGGCGCTCCCACTCAGCCCAGGTGCAGCCCCGGCGCTCCCCCCCACCCCCCGATTCCTCCTCCCGGGCGCCCCGAAGGCGAAGACGCCTGCCCTCGGGGAGGTCACTGCACGGCCCGTGCGAGCGAGCCAGCCGTCGGAGCTCGGAGCCGAGCTGCGGCGCCGAGCGCTCGCCCGTGTGCCCGTCCCGCGCGCCCCAGTGCCACGCACCCCGCGGGCCTCCTTACCCCCGGCGCATCCAGCTAGGAAGTCGAGCGCCATGGCCAGCCAGGTCCTCGTCCTTCTCCGGCCCCTCGCTGGACTGGTCACCGTCGGGGACCCCCCACCCGGCGGGCTGCGGCGGAACCTGGCCGGGGCGCCACCTCCTGCCACGGAGCCCCCCCGCCCCCGGCAGGTCGGAGTCTGGCGGCGGCGGCGGCGCTGGCAGCTCGGCGCGACCTCCCGGCCCGGCGCGCTGCCCTCGCTGCCCGGCTCGCGGTGCCCTCGCCGCCGCCCGCCCGCCGCCCGAGGTCCCTCACCTCGGGCCGCGCGCCCCGCCCCGCGGGCCGCCGGGGTGGGCGGGGCTCCGAGCGCAGCCAATGGGCGGGCGCGGCGCGGACAACACCCCGGGGCCTGCGCGCCGCCGCCGCGTCCCATTGGCGGAGCGCGCGGGCGCGGGGGGCGGGGCGCGTCGGCGGGGGCGGCGCCGCTGACAAAGGCTGAGCTTGGTGCGCCCGCCCGCGCCGCTCCCGAGGCGCTGCGGGGCTGCGTGCGCGCCGGCGGGCTGCGGGCTGCGCCGGCCCGGGGGGGAGGGGGGCGCCGGGACCCCGCGCGGGAGCCGATCGCCTGGGTCCCCGGGGCTCCGCGGGGGCCTCCGTGCGCGTGCGGGGCGGGGAGGGGAAGCTCCGGGCCCGCGCGGGGACCCGGTCGGGATCAGGCCCCGGGACGCGCACCGGGAGCCGGTGCGGGTGTCGGGGGGACGCGGGACGCGGGCCGAGGGGCGCGCGCCTTGCCCGCGGCCCGGGGAGAGCGTGAGCGGGCGGCCGAGCGAGTCCGGGCGCACGGGTCGGTCGGTCACCTTGGGGAGCTGGGCGGCGCGGGTGGAACGGATGCCGGCGAGCCGATGAGGGCGCCCCCGGAGGGGTCTGAGATCGGTGGGGTCATGGGACCCCTTTGGGGGCCGGGGGAGGGTCCGGCCCACGCAGCTCCCGCGCCCTCCCCGGCGCCTCTGTCGGTCTGAAACCGTTCAGGCCCCGCCAGCGTCCTTCCTCCGGGCGCCCCGCGCTCCTTTCCGGCCTGTGGTCACCGGCACCGCGGGCGCGGGGCGACAGTGGGCCTGTGCGACTCGGACCCAGGACTGGGTGGGTACGCGGAGCGCAGCGCTGCTCTCCGACATCCGCCTTAGGCTCGGCTTTTGCAATTAGCACCGTCTTCATCGGCATCCTTCGTTTGGGGGCCACGCACCTGCGGTGCTCCGGGACCCTGCCGGTGCGTGCTTGAATGGAAAGAAACTCCGGCCTTCACCGTGGAAGCGAAATAGGATATTCATTAAGCAGAGACCCAAACCCAGGCCAGCTGACTCTTAGTCCAGTGCTCGTGAAGGCTGCTGGGCCCTGAACTGAGGGTCTGGAGGCCTGGGCTTGACTGTCAACAGCCTCTGTCCAGAGAAGCCCAGACCCTCAACAGGACAAGTTAATTCTGGGGGTCTTTGGGAGGTCCCTGCAGCCATTGTGTTTGGAGGACAATCACTGCCTAGTGAGTGCGTGGGTCCCCCGGAACGAGGCCCCCAGATCTACAGGCTGACAGGCCATCCTGGTGTGTGGAGCTTGAAAGTTTGGTTTTTGTTTTGTTTAGGGACAGGGTCTCACCCACCTGTGCCAGATACTACTCCGGGGACATACGGGGTGCCAGGATTGAACCTGGGTGGGCCGAGTGCAAGGCCAGCGCCTGCCCCGCTGCCTGGGGCTCCGGCTCCGGTCTGCACAGGCCTTGGCAGGAGTCCCGGTCTCTGGGGAGAGGCTGACACGGGAAGTCCCCTTGGGGAGGGCCTGTTTGGGGAGCTACGCAGGTGGCAGGTGGGGCGGGTCCTGTGTGTCCTGCAGAACATTCTGGACACAGCTTTGGGGGGGAGCCATTGTTTAGAGGGGGATCCTTGGGTTTGGGGACAGATTCGGCACGTGGGGCTCCGGAGCCAGGACTGTCCCTCTCCAGCGCTGCTGGGGACAGCCTTTGGAGGCTGAGTCGGGGCACGGTGGATGCAGACCCTGCCAGGGCCACCGGCTGGACAGCTGGTCTGTCCAGGACCCCAGCGAGCTCAGCAGGCTGCGTGCCACTTTGCCTAGAGGGGCTGGGGTCGGACCCGAACGCCGCGTGGTCCCCAAGCACTGTGGGAGCCACACCTTTGCCGAGTGTGGCATTAGAGCAGGCTCTGCGTGGGGCTGGAGAGATGGTGCTGTGTGTGGGTCAGATGTGCACGGCCAACGGGGTCAATCCCAGCACGACCGGAAGTGATCCCTGAGCACAGAACCGGGAGTCAGGCCTGAGCACTGTTGGGTGCTCACGTTTCCCTTGAGCACCTCTCCGGAAAAAGGTCAGCGCTGCTGCAGCCCCGAGCATGGCCGGTGTTCCCCAGCCCTCCAGAGCACCTGGGGGCAGGGGGCAGTGAGCGGACAAGGGATGCGAAGGACTCCTCAGCGTGGACAGGTCAGCATGGACGGGGGCGTCCACAGCTGGGACTGGCCACCAGGCCACTGGCCTCTAGGGCTCCAGGTCAGCTGCCTCACTTGAGCGTGAAGCTGTCATCTGGAATATGTGGGTTCAGGCCCCCCTAGGTCCCCTCTCCCAGGGGAGGCCGCCCTGCAGGAGGGACTGAGGCTGGAGCAGTGGGCGGGCAGTGAGGGGCCAGCTCGTGCCGGGGACTGGGGACATCAGGCGCAGTGGGCGAGAGTTCCAGTCCCCACCGGGGGTTCCTTTCCCGCCCACCCTGTCCAGGCCGGAGGGAGGCACCGGGAGAGCAGGGTTAGGGCGGACTGTCCTGCCAGGGGTGGCTTCGCAGCTGGTGCCACATCGTCCTGGCAGACTGGGTTGGGTGACAAGCGATGGGCTCATCCCACCTGGAGCAAAATCCGCACCCAGGGGCCATGTGCGTCCACCCTGGTACATCACAGGGCCTGGTATATACTAGGTGCTCAATAATTGCAGGCGAGTCTGAGCAGCCAGAGCTCTGCGCTGTCTCGGGGTCCCAGTCACACACTTCTCTGGGACCAAGGGGTCTGCAAAGCGGGAGGGGCAGGGGGCATTGGTAGAAGGTTCTAGATGCTTTTAGAAAAATGCCTATAGAAAAATATACTTTTCTCAGCTGTATTTGTAGAATTAGGGTCAGAAGCATCAGAACTCGCCTGCCCCCGCGACAGAGACGTGCATGGACCCCACAGCTTTCACTCTGAGTCCGGCCCCCCTCCATCCTGGGGGGTGCTGTTGGCAGTGAGGGGCCCCGGGGCGAGGTCCTGTCTATGGGTGTCCTTGGGGAATTGTGTCAGCAGTTGCCTGTGTAGGTTGAGAATCCCAGGAAAATGCAGATTCCCAGCCGGGAGATGGCAGCAAGGGCAGGAGGGAACGCGTGGTGTGCCAGCCCCAAGCACCACCAGGTGTACGCCCCTAAAATATCGATTCTAGGGCACCGGAGTGGTGGTACAGCAGGCAGGGTGTTTGCCTTGCACGGGGCCAAGCCAGGTTCGATCCCCAGCTTCCCATAGGGTGCCCTGAGCTCACCAAAAGTGATTCCTGAACATGGAGCCAGGAGTGACCCCTGAGCACTGCTGGGTATGCTTCCCTACCACCACCAAAAAAAAAAAAAAAAAGTGGATTCTGTGGCCAGGCTGCTGCAGGTCTTGGCTGGGCAGCTGTGAGGAGACGGGCAGCGTGAGTCGTCAGGAGAGGTTCGAGGGGTTCCTTAACCCGCCCCAGCAGGCTCCAGGTCCTGGACTGGCCCTCCTGGCACTGCAGGAAAGGGCTGTAGGGTGGCAGGTGGAGGTTGTCAGGGGGGAGCATGACACACTGCCCCGCGAGCTATGAGCCTCAGCCAGTGGGCCCCAAGTCACCCCAAAAAGTTTCTGCAGTCGGCATTGGGTGCCGTGTGTTGTGGGGAGCCGTAGGTGTGTCCTGTGTGCATGCCCCGTGGTACGACGTACTGTGTGCATGTCCTGCGATGTGGGCGCTGTATGTGTGTCCCGTGTGTGTGTCCCATGACGTGGGGTGGCATATGTGTGACCCGTATGTGTGTCTTGTGATGTGGGGTGCTGTATGTGTCCCGTGTGTATGTCCCGTGGTATGGGGTGCCGTGTGTGTCCTATGATGTGGGGCACTGCATGTGCGTCCCGTGTGCATGTCCCGTGATGTGGGGCGGTGTATGCATGACCCGTGTGTGTGTCCCAGGATGTGGGTGGCGTATACGTGACCCATGGTATGGGGCGCCGTGTGTTGTGAGGAGCCATAGGTGTGTCCTGTGTGTGTGTGTCCCATGATGTGGGGCGCTGTATGTATGTCCCGTGTGCGTGTCCCGTGATGTGGGTGGCATATACATGACCCGTGGCATGGGGCGCCGTGTGTGTGTCTGGTGGCTGCAGGGAAGTGGCTGCGGTCCCCCCAGGCTCCTTCAGGTGGGCTGTGCTCTCAGGTGCCCGGTGCCACTCGGGGCACTGACCTTGGGGCCGTTCCCTCTCTCTGCCAGCCTGGGGGTGACGGGAAACTCAAGATGTGCAGATCAGAAATAGCGCAGGGCACATCCCGAGGTAAAAATAGAGCCCGGGGCCCAGAAACCCAGCTCAGGTGTTCCCCAGCCCGGTCAGGACAGAGCCACAGGAGCCCCGGGGGTGTCGTTGTGACACGGCTCTCTGCCCAGTGGTAGCTGTCCACCCGCCCAGGACTCTGTCTGGCCGGGGACACCTCAGGCAGGTTGAGGAATCAGCGTCCCCCAGGCTGGGGCAGTGCGGCAGGTGAGACAGATTGGCACAGATGACAGGTCACTGCGGGTCCCAGGTGCATGTGGCAGACAGGCTACGGAGGGACAGTGAAGGCCTGTGCTGCTGCCTGCACTGTGCTCGCCCCCCGGGGTGACCCCTGCCTGGGCCAGGCCGCCACACACAGGGCTCTCAGCAGAGACCCAAAATCCATCATGAGTCCTTGAGTCTGTCCCACGCCTTCTGGCGGGTGGAAAATGGAGAGAGAAAACGCGGTTCCCAGGCCCGGCTGGCCCCGAAGGCAGCGTGGCCGCTGTCCTGCTCTCTGGTGCCGCCCTGGGGTCCCCGCTCCGGGGCTGTGTTGTGAGGACC